GCCACTGCACTCCAGTCTGGGCGACAGAGTGAGACTCCAACTCAAAAAAAAAAAAAAAAATACCCCCAGCAGCCAGCTGCTACTGTCCAATTGCATTATTATGGAAAGGGCCTCCTTCCTTAAGTTAATAGCTCTCCAATCATTTCACATTCTGTCGCCTTGAATTCGCATGGGTAAATTCTGGGAAGTCCACCTGTAAGTTTAGCTCTATCCCTGTAACTATGCTATTTCAGTCCTCAAATTCTCCCATGAGAACCCTTGGTGAGCAACTGGATTGGATGCCCACTTGAAAGTATTTGGAGCCAGGCGCAGTGTCTCATTCCTGTAATCCCAGCACTTTGGGAGGCTGAGGCGAGAGGATTGCCTGAGCCCACGGGTTCGAGACCACCCTGGGCAACTTGGCAAGACCTCCTCTCTACAATAAATCAAAGTATTAGCCGGGTGTGGTGGTACATGCCTATAGTTGCAGCTACTTGCAAGGTGGAGGTGGAAGGATCACCTGAGCCCAACAGGTCGAGGCTGTGGTGGCCATGAGTGTGCCACTGCACTCAAGCCTGGGCAACAGAGTGAGACTCTGACTCAAAAAAAAAAAGTATCTGGAAAAAAATATAGAGGCCATATAACCTTCATTATGCAGTCTGTCAACAAACACTTAGGGAGGGTCTATTAGTTTCCAGGCATTGGATATAGCAGTGACCAAAACAGACAAACAAAATGAACAAGTAAATGCACAGACTTGGTGATATAGGCAATAATAAAGCAGGAAAGAGAATAGAAAAGGGATCAGCTAAAGAGAAGGAAGGTTCTAGGAATGGAAAGAAGGAAGGAGGACATGAAAACTTTTGTTTGTTTATTTTAAACTATGGTCCTGAACTTTACCTGTGTTATCTCAGTTAGTCATTACAACCACTCATTAAGGTAGATATGATTATTCTCATTCTACAATAAAGAAAATAGATCAGAGAGGTTAAGTAAACTTGCCTGAGGATCAGCTCTGGGTGTAAGGACTGGTTCTGATTGTGGCTCCACCCAGACTCCCTCACCCCACCCTCCCCCTCACCTCTCTGGAGATGCAGAGGCTGAGAGGTAGAAATTCAAGGACACTCCTCTTGAGGCCCTGTGATGGGGGTCATAAAGTCTCTGGAGAAACATCTTGGGTAGGTAAAGTCACAAAAACATGCCCTCAGGACAAATATGGTCCCCCAAACCCCTCCAGTGTGCAGACTGCTCTGGCCCCAAAGCAATTTTTTTTTTTTAGTCAGGGGTCTCACTCTGTGGCCCAGGCTAGAGTGCAGTGGCATGATTATGGCTCACCATAGCCTCAACCTCCTGGGCTCAGGTGATCCTTCTACCTCAGCCTCCTGAGTAACTGAAACTACCTTACCAGGCTAACTTATTTTACTTTATTTTTTATTTTTTGAGTTTTACCCTCGCTCAGGCTGGAGTGCTGTAGCATACTTATGACTACTGCAGCCTTGACCTGCTGGGCTCTGGGGATCCTTCGGCCTCAGCCTTCCAAGCAGCTGGAACTACAGACGCATACCACCATGCCCGGCTAGTGTGTGTGTGATTTACTGTAAAGACAAGGTCTCACCAAGTTGCCCAGGCTGGTCTTGGAACCCTGGGCTCAGGCATTCCTCTCGCCTCAGCCTCCCAGAGTACTGGGATTACAGACTGAGCCACGGTGCGAGGCCTTGGTTTTTTGTTTGTTTGTTTGTTTTTGAGTTGGAGTCTCACTCTGTCACCCAGACTGGAGTGCAGTGGCCGCTCCCTGCAGCCTCAACCTGCTGCCTCAACCTGCTGGGCTACTGCAGCCTCAACCTGCTGGGCTCCAACGATCTACAGGCGCGCGCTTACCACGCCCGGCTGATTTTTTGATTTATTGTAGAGATGAAGGCTTGCCAAGTTGCCCAGGCGGGTCTCGAACCCACGGGCTCAGGCAATCCACTCACTCAGCCTCCCAAAGGTGCGGGATTACAGGCTGAGCCACCAAGACAGCTGTTTTGTTTTTAATAGAGATGGCTCCCTATGTCGACCAGCCCCTCCTGGACTCAGGTGATCCTCCCACCTCGGCCTCCAAAAGTGCTGGGATTATAGGCAACCAGCCCCAGAGCATTTTTACGAACACTAGTCAGGACTGTTATTGCCCCTTTTTTACTGATGTGATAGCTGAGGATTGAGATTTCCTTCAGGGCCCACAGCTAATACAGGGCAGACCACATTCTCACAAGTGTTTCTGCTCCAAAAATCAGAGCTCCTGCTTTTCAACCCTCCTTGCCGCCTCCATGCTGGCATGCCTGTAAGTGTTAATTGACAGATGAGAGATCCAAGCAGGGTCACCATGGAAAGTTCAAGAGCAAGGGTCAAACTCCCACTGAGCTCTCCACCCACAGTGGCCTTTGTGACAGGAAGGGGGAGGGGTGGAGGCAGTGAGATCTGGAAGCTACAGATGTTTATAGAGCTTGGGTTGTCCTTTCTTAACGGCTGAAACACAGCCCCTTCCTGAGTCACTCCAGTGAGTTGAGGCATCCCCAGGCATGGAGTGCCCTAGGTCCCAAAAAAAGGGGATCCCTAATCACTCGAGTAGGCTTCCCACAGGAGATAACCCTCCAGGGCTGGGGCTGGGGCAGCGCGTGGCATTGCAGGTTATCCAGGCCTCATGGATTTCCCCCCTTTGCCCCTCAGGCTCTCCCTGGAAGGGAAGGCTCATGCTGAGCTTTAAGTGGTTTCTGTGGTTTAGGGGTGGGGAGGAAGGGAAAGAGAAGTTGGTGACTGCTCCCCAGTTCCAAGCCGCCACCACCACTTCCCACCCCCTCCAGGCTGTTTGCCCCTGCATTGAGATTCCCCTGGCCTGATAAGGGGACTGGGCACGTGGGGGGTGAAATGATTCTCTGATCCTTATCAGCCTCTTCCTTGCATAAGAATGTGAGTATATTTGAAGAGGAAATAACCACTGCCCTGCTTTGAAAGGACTGATTCCTCCAGAAAAGGGGCTGTGATTGCAGCAAGAGGGAAGAAGGTCAGGCAGAAGGGGGGACTTCTCAAGAGAGTAACCAAGGGAATTTCATGTCCTGGGGAGAAAGAACCCAAGCCATCCATGCTTAGGGCAGGGACAGGATGAAGACTCCAGAAAGCCTAGGAAGCATGTGGGTCTCTTAGGCCTAGAGGCCAGGACACTGTTTTCTCAACCCCCAGTCACTTCCTCCCCATCCCACACAGCAGCACAAAGTGGCACAAAAGGGAGACGCAGCCACACCTGGGGATTTGGGGATGCCCAGTGCCCATCCACAAGCATTCTCTATGACCTCCGCTCTGTGTCTGCAATAGCGGGGCTGAGAGGACGGTTAGCCAGGAAGGGCCTTGGAAGACCCAGGGTCACAGAGGAAGAGAGGCCTGAAGAGGAGGAAAAGAGCACAGAAAACAGAAGAACCACAGACAAGCAGGGACTGGCAGGGAGAGACAGAAGAAGATAACCAAGGCGTTCTCGGGAAAAGAGGAGAACAGAACCACACTTCCCCTGGCGCTTCCTGCACCCCCTCCACCTGCCTCTTGCTGGTGCCAGCCAGAGGGCACTGGGTTGGGGGGTGCTGCAAAGCGCTTTGCCTCTGACTCCAAACCTGCCCAAGGCGCAGAGCCCCAGAACGGACCGACATCCTGATCTGTGCATGGGGCATACTTAGATGCGTGGGCCTGCATCTTCCCAAAGAACACAGGATCATCAGAGCTTTAGAGGCAGACACACCCTCAGACTCAGTACAGATGTTCTCCAGAGCTTCCCCTCCTCTCCCTCATTCCCCATCACTAGGAGTTGGGAAGTCCTTCTCCACTTCTAACCTTTGTCCCTCAAGCTCCAGCCATGGGGAGGCTCTGGGAGCTGCCCAGAAGCAGAGGTGCTGATGGTAGCAGAGTGTGAATCTCGAGGGTGGGACAGGAGCAGAGGATGACAAGACAGGAGGGCAGAAGAGGGAAGGGACAGCTGCCTGCTCTCTCCACGCCAGGTGCCACGTGCACCAGGTTCGGGGGAGTGGGCGAGTCACGAGGCTGTGGCGTGGCTGGCTTCTGCGCTGCTGTTTACCAGCTGAGAACCAGAGCAGGAGGAGGTGCCAGGGAGCCTCCCGCTGCAGCCTGGCTCCTGGCCAGTGGCCTGTTGGGTAACCGGGAGAGCCAGGCCCAGCTAATCAAACTCTGGGCCCAGCCATGCAGGAGAAAGGTGGCATCCAAGAACCCCAGAAGAGCCCTTCTGGCCTGCAGAGCCCTTCAGTGCAGGCCTCAGTTTGGGCCCATTTAGTCTGGGGGGCTCTCCCCCTCCCAACTAATCCAGGGCATCTCTGCTCTCCTCTCCCCTCTCACCGCTGCTCTCCCTTCACACAATCCTCCAGACCTGTCCCTCACTCCTTACTTATGGACCAGGAGCATTTGGAAGCCTTGGGGAGTCCAGGAGTTCTAGGGAAGGGCAGCAGGGGGCAGGGACCAGGGCCAAGCAGGCCACGGCCTCAAGAAATCTAGGAATCACAGGGATGAGTGTGCCCCATCCCGGAGTAAAGGCAGAATTCCCCAGACATGTGTTCTCCTCCCCATTCCTCCCTGCCCCAGCTCCCCTATTCCTGTCCCCTGTCTTAGGCAGAAACCACAGAATTCTGAAGTCACAAAGACCTGGGCTCAAATAAGAACTCAACCATTTATTGCTCTTGTGTAAGCCCTTGGGCAAGTCATTCATATTTCTGAGCATCACTCAACTCATTGATAAATCTGGAATAATTATGTTTCCCTGTGGTGGGTGTCGTGAGGATTTACACAAAGTAAAATCATGGATTTGCATAAAGTACCTGGCAAGGACCCAGCACACAGGAGGTGATCAATAAATGCTAGCTCTCCTCCTTTCTCCTATCCTGTTTCTCCTCATACTCCATACTCTGGCCTGCTGGTCTCTCCTCTTGTCCCTTCCCAGTGCCAGGACGCTCTGCCAGCCACTCCTTTCCCCTGCCTGCTGGCTGGCCAGGTGCTCCCTCCCTCCACCCTCCTCCCTCCCCTGGGCCCTGCTCCCTGCCCTCCTGGGCAGCCAGGGCAGCGAGGACGGCACCAAGGGAGCTGCCCCATGGACAGGGCCCCACAGAGACACCACCAAGCCTCGCGGGGTAAGAGGCCCCACGGCCCTGCAGGCAGGTGGAAGGTTCGAAAGGGGACAGATGGGAAGAAACTGGGCAAGGCGTGAGGAGGTGAGGGAGGCCCAAGAGCCCAGAACAGGAGCGAGCATGGGGTTGGCAGGGGGCACAGGAGGGTGAGGCAGAGAGTCTAGAAACTGAAGGAGAAACAGGAGGAGGAGGAATAGAAAAGGGAGAGAAACAGGAAGCCCATCAAGGGGAAAGAAAGGGAGACGTGAAGAAGGAATAGACAGGTTGGGGGGGAGGGAGGTGAGGGAACAGCAGAGTCAGGGAAGCCAGATCTCAGTGGAGGAAGGGTCAGGACGTGGGCGATGCCCAGGCGTGAGCGTGCCCCTGGGAGTTATGTGGACGCTGCTTTCCTGATCTGGGCTGGCCAGGACCCCAGGCAGCAGGGGTTGAGAGGCTGACCATTCCAGGTTCTGCTCACTGGCCGGTGGAGAAACCTGTCCTTTAAGGAGTGACAGATTGGGGGAGGGGAGCAACCACACCCCGTCAGCTGCCCATGACCGCTAGCCTGGCACTTTCCTCCCCGCCAGCCCAGGGGTGTGGGGTTTCACTTCTGCCGAGAATGTGGGGCACCGGGTCTGCGGCAGGGAGGGACAGAAAGTCAGATAGTTCTTGGTCCCACGTACGGTCTAAGGCAGGAACCCCCTCGGCCACATGCTTGGTCAGCTGTGAGCACGGAGGGGAAAAGCTTGAGGGCCAGCGCTGCCGAGCTCCAGGGCCACCTGGTGGAGGAAGAACTCAGCTGCCTGGGCAAGCAAGAGGCGCACCGGCGCCACTGAACTGCTGCGAGGTGCAAGGCTGGAGGCCAGGAGTTGGTGCCACGTCAGGGAGGAAGCTGGGTGGGGTTGGGCAGGATCGTGGGGAGGGGG